AAGGAAATACCATCAAGCATTAGAGGCATCCATCTGCAGAAATTTCCCTGATAATGGAATCATCTGCTGTATGAGTCACAACACTGATGGGCTTTACAGGTGAGGATGGTTTCCTTGCTCATGAACTTCTAGTGAGTTAATGATTTTATGAGTGAGATCATTCATAATGATTTTGTATGAATTTTTTTATAGTGCAAAACGGTCTGCTGTTGTAAGGGCATCTGATGATTTTTGGCCGAGAGATCCAGCATCTCACACAATACACATTGCATCAGTTGCTTACAACACCATCTTCCTGGGTGAATTTATGCAGCCAGATTGGGATATGTTTCATGTAAGTTGGAAAATGATTAATTCCCGTCTTTTTTCTGAAAATTAAATTTGTACTTGCTCTTCCAGAGCTAATCAAGTTTGAACCTTTGATGTATGACAGAGCTTACATCCAATGGCTGAATATCACGGTGCAGCTCGAGCCATAGGAGGATGTCCCATTTATGTTAGGTATGATCGATTCCAATGAATGATATGGCATTATTATACAATTGAACGAATGGTTTCTTAGCATTGAATGTCTTCATATTTACAGTGATAAGCCTGGGCACCATGACTTTAACCTATTAAAGAAACTCGCACTCCCTGATGGTTCTATATTGAGGGCTAAACTTCCAGGAAGGCCAACAAAGGATTGCTTATTTTCTGATCCTGCCAGAGATGGAAAGAGGTAAAGGAATCCAACATGAATTAACATACCTGAATACGTTTGAACGATTGTCAGATCAACATACCTGAATACGTTTGAACGATTGTCAGATCATTGAGCTTTTGATTTCAAAATACTCATTGAAAGTTGCTTTTGCAGCCTTCTGAAGATATGGAATGTGAATGATTTTTCTGGAGTTGTTGGGGCATTCAACTGCCAGGGAGCTGGGTGGTGCAAAGTTGGAAAGAAGAACCTTATCCACGATGAAAATCCCGGCACAGTCACCGGCATCATTAGAGCCAAAGATGTTGATTATTTGTCCAGAGTTGCAGATGACAAATGGACAGGAGACACCATTATATTTTCCCATGTTGGTGGTATGTTTCTAGCTAGGCTTCACATTATACATTGGAAATAATCTTCTATATGGTACTTAAAACTTTTTGAATCTAACATGCTCACTTATGGTAATTTGCAGGAGAAGTAGTCTATCTTCCACAGGATGCATCAATGCCAGTTACATTAAAATCTCGAGAATATGAAGTTTTCACAGTAGTTCCTGTCAAAGAATTGACCAATGGGGTTAGGTTTGCTCCGATTGGTTTGATCAAGATGTTCAACTCAGGAGGAGCCATCAAGGATTTGAGGTACGAAGAAGCTAATGGAACTGCAAACGTTGTCATGAAGGTTCGTGGGTGTGGCCTATTTGGAGCTTATTCATCAGCTCAACCCAAGAAGATAACAGTTGATTCAGAGGAGGTGGAATTCAGATACGAGGCAGAATCTGGGTTGGTCACTATAGAGCTGAGAGTACCAGACAAAGAACTGTACCAATGGAACATATCCACTGATTTATGAACAGGAGGATCTTAGGATTGGCTCTTGTTTTTTGCGTAGAATTTATTATGAATGTTTTGAAGAGTTTATGTAGACACTTCAGAGAAAAGTAATGAAATGAAGAATACAAAGATTGCACCATCCATAATCTAATAAATGGGAAAAAAAATTGTTTCTCTATTTAGTAAGAAGAATTTTAAAAATGGCAAAAAAAGAAGAAGAAAAGAAACTCCCTTTTTCAGTCGTGCTTCTCCAGAATCAAGATCCTCCGACCTCGCCTTCTCAGTTCCTGCCCATCTTGCGGCTGTTCTCCGTTCAGGTGAGCTTCATCCGTTAGCCCGTCTTCTACTCCTCTCGGCGTGCTGTGCCCGAACGCATCATTGTCCCACGGATCGTATGTTTGTCCCTGTTCTGTCGGTATGAACTTGTTAAACGTGGTCGCAGAAGACAGGTAGGTCGTAAAGAGAGGTAGGAGCCTCTTCCTTCCATAGGATGCTTAGTAAGAAGCTTTGCTAATGCAAATTCCGTCGCGTGAGATAACAGGACAAGGAAGCTTCGCTAATGGATTAAGCTTTGCTAACACTGTACATATTTTCAGATACTCTGTCCCTTAATTTAATTTATGAATGATAAATAATTAGTTAAAATTAATTAAAAATAATAAATAATTTAGAAATATTTTTTTAAATATGCAATTATAATAAATGAAACAAAGAATGAAAGGAAAAGTATAAGAAAACATGATAAAAGAAAAATAATTAAGAGCAGTATTATAAAAAAAAATTAAGAGCAACATAGACAAATCCAAATTAAAATTTATAAAATAGATCATACTCATTTCTAAATTTAAAGCTTATAAATAAGGTCGGATGGAGTATTTTTTAATATAAAAAAAATGATGAAATAGAATATATGGAAATTGTGTAAGTGTAATGTGAGAGAATATGACAAAGGAATAATTAAGAATAAAATTCTAAAAAACATATTAAATGTTTATAAACCCAAATTAAAACTTAAAAAATGAATCATATCCCTTTCTGAATTTTAAGTTTATAAATAAGACGGAGAATATAATTTAAAGAAACTAAAATGTATTTATTATAAATAATGAATTTTTGAATATTTCTAGTGTAGGTATTATTTGTGGTCCTTAATATAATTATATAACTAATTTGAAGATATTTAAAAATAAATAAAAAAATTAATCTTTTGATTTTTAACTTTTAATTTACCTTTAACTTAGTCTCTTCACTATGATTCGGTATGACCTAGTATCTTACTCCCTCCGTTCCTTATTATAAGAGACAAATAACCAAATTACATTGATAAAAAAAAACAGTTAAAATTAGTTGAGGACAATTAATACGTAAAAAGTATAATGTTTTTTACCAACAATACCCCTATTAATAAGGAGAGAGAGTATGAGAGAGAACAATTAAATTATTAAAAGAAAGAGAAGTGGGAGGGAGAGAGAGTATGAGTAGGAGACAAAATAAATAGGGGTAAAATAGGAAATCAATACAAAAAACTAGAGATAACTTTTAAGTGTCTCTTATATATGGGAACATGCCATAACATCAAATGTCTTTTATAATAAGGAATGGAAGGAGTAACTTTGAACTCACATATGACCCAGTCTTTTATTTTACTTTTTAAACAATGATCCTGAGTCATTCTATGTTGTATAAATAATTAATATTTTTTCGGTCCTAAATATAAGACTCCTTTTATAGTGTAAATTACACTACAAAAGGGGTCTTATATTTAGGACACTACATTATAAAATGAGTCTTATATTTAGCACCAGAGGAGTATCATCTTTTGGATTATTTCCAACTCAACTCCACCTATTTTTTCAAAAAATTCAAACGAAAGAACACGCAAGAAAACCATCCAGACGTGGCAATCATGCTCTTGATCAGTACCCACAACTCACAAGCTTGCCGGCATCTTTGTGGGCTCTGAGGAACAACTATGGTCATCACACTTTATCCTCTCCCGCGAGTTAGTCTCCTCAGATTTATCTAAACAAAAGGAATTACGCGGTCCATTTTATCTTTTTATTTTTGAATATGTGTTGTGTACTACCGACTAAATTACACCTAAAACGTGCAGAATCCTCGTCTGCGATCCATCTCTCTCGCCTCATCTCTTCCAAACTCAAACAGTAACATAAACACATCCTCTCTCAAAGCATTTGCCAAACCAGAAGAGGAAATGCTTGTGTGAACTACACAGGAAAATTTGAACCTCTGCTCCAGGGGCTCCCTATCAATGTAAAGTGCAAAACATTTGATTTCCATATCCTGGCATCTCCTCCTGAGTTCCTCCAACGTGTTTGAATCTCAAGCGTGGTGACCCTAGTTGTCCCTCGAAGCCCACAAAGATGCCGGCAAGCTTGTGGATACCAGTGAGGAGCATGATTGCCACGTCTGAACGGTTTTCCGGCGTGTTCATTTGTTTGAATTTTTTGAACAAACAGGCGGAGCTGAGTGGAAAATAATTTAAAGATGATACTTATTCTTAATATAAAACCTAATTTGAAAGTTGATGTTAATTCTATATATAAGATATATTTTTTAAATTAATCCTATTGATATTTCTTCAACAATAATTAAGTAAGGGAGAAAAGGAGGGAATGAATTAAGGAAGATGATTATGATATTTTAGAAAAAATATATCATATTGACTAATTTAACTACTATATTTAATTTATTCAAATTAGTAAATTAGGTTATATATTAAGGATCGGAGAAGTATTAATTATTTACGTTAAAAGTGAAAAAAATAAGGAACCAAGTCATATATGATTAAAAAATTGAGGGATTGAGTCGCACCAACTTATAGTTAAGGATTTAAGGGGGTGTTTGGATAGAAACCAAACCATGGTTTCAGAAGTGCTTTTACGGATTACGAAATAAATATGTGGAAGAGATTACCTCATTTTGTGGAAAAGTGCTTCTGAAACAGTAGTTTTGAGAATGCCAAACACCCCCTAAGTTAAAAGTAAGTTGAAAGTTAAAGGACTAAAAAATTAATTTTTTTAAAAAATTTAATTAAATTAATTATTTGTCATAAATATGTGATGGTCTCTTTAAATTATTCTCTTCAATTATTTACATTACATTTTTACAATTAATGAATAAAAATATTTTTAAAAAAATTAAAATGTTATATTTAGAACTAATCTCTACTTGAAATGACGGTTCACATTTGACATAGCACACAGAGGGAGTGTATAAGGAATGCAGTAATGAAAGAAAATCAGGGGGATATATTTTGATATTTGATTTTTTAAATAATTATAATTTTGATCGTTCCCACAGTTGTGGCTGCCTTGCGCCAAAACGACTGCGCCGCATCGAGGAATAGGCGAATCTCCGTCTCTGCTAGACGCCTAAACCCTGGTTAAGCCCCTCCCAGCGCAAACTAGCGAGAGAGAGAGAGAGAGAGGGAGAGAGAGAGCGAGAGAGAGGGAGGGAGAGAGCGAGAGAGAGAGAGAGATGTTTCGGAGCAGAGCGGCCTGGTCATTTTTGAGGCGCAGTAAAGATGTAAATGGGATGTACAAGCTGAGAGAAACAAGGCCAACTTCAAGTTTTTCTTCCGGGGATTCGTCAAGGTTTTTTTACCCGACCATCGCCCGGCAATATTTACATATGTTTCGATCTCAGCCTAAGGTCTCGTCAATTCTCTTCTTTTCACTTCTACTGAAACATTTCTATCTATCTCATGCATTTGGCGTATGTTATTTTCCCTTTCTTTGGAGCGATTAAAGTTTATGCATTCAGCAGGTTGTAAATAACCTGGGTAAATTTTGTTTTACTCTGTTCAATTATATGTTGGATAATTGTCATTTTTAGTTCACTTCATCATATATGAGTATTGACAATTCAAAGATGGTGTTTTGGATTTGTCTGGGGTCTGTCAGTTGTTATTGATTATGATCATAATAATTGTATGAGATATTCTTGAGTATCATGATTAAATCTGGTGGTAAATATATCGTTTCTATTTTGGTCTTGCAACTTTTCGGGGTGACGAAGCTTTCTTTATTGTGTTGTTTTGTACATTTGGTTTGAAGGAAAATGTTACGATGCTTTTAGGGTCACAATGTGCCGTACATGAGGAGCTTTTGTAGTGTGGCGTCTACTGAGGTGGCCCAGAAAGAGGGTGTGAAACTGCTAGTGACTGGGGGACCTCATGCCCAGAAAGCGGTTGGAATATGGCTTTTCGGCTCAGCCGCATGGGTGTTTAGTATGGTGGTACTTGGGGGTGTTACTAGACTGACGCGATCCGGTCTTTCAATGACTGATTGGAAATTCACGGGTGGGCTCCCTCCCATGTCAGATGAGGAATGGCAGCAAGAGTTTGAGAAATATAAGCAATCACCTGAATACAAGCGGTAAGTAACAAGTGCAAACACCGCTGTGATTCATGCAATGTCAACGTAATATTGCATTGTGGAGGATGTATGCTTTATCAAAATTCTTTATTTTATTTTATTTTATTTGCGTGCCTTTAATTTATTGCGCTGATTTTTTACCTAGATGCCGAATACGTTGATGTAATACTTTGTCACCTGTTGCAGAGTTAACAAGGGAATGAAGATTGAAGATTTCAAATTTATATATTGGATGGAGTATGCACATCGTATGTGGGGAAGGGCATTAGGAGTTATGTTTGCTTTGCCCTTCTCATATTTTCTCCGTAAGGGGTACATAACCTTACGATTAGGACTCAGACTTTCTACTCTCTTTGCCCTTGGGGCTGGCCAGGGTTTAATTGGGTGGTGGATGGTTAAAAGTGGTTTAGAGGTTGGCAAATTCCTCTGTTGATTTTGAAGTTTTATTGTTAACATTATCATTCTTTTAAGCCAGTTTTCTTCTATAGGAACCAGCATCTGAATATTTTCAGCCAAGGGTCAGCCCCTATCGCCTTGCTGCTCATCTTACTTCAGCGTTTGCTATTTACTGTGGTCTTTTCTGGACTGCTTTGTCTGTTGTTATGCCTGAACCACCAGCTGAATCACTAGCATGGGTTCATGGGGCTGCTAAAGTGAAGAGACTGGCACTACCTATAGGCTTACTTGTTGGTCTGACAGCTATTTCAGGTGCATTTGTTGCTGGAAACGATGCTGTATGTTAGTATGTCTATTATTTCTATGTTTTTCATGCTTTGTTATAGTTGAAAACTTTGATGAGTAAAGATAAGTATTCTGCTTGCTTGTGGATTTCCAGGGGCATGCATTTAATACTTTTCCAATGATGGGCGACGCATGGATACCAGATGATATTTTTGAAATGAAACCTCTGATTCGGAACTTCTTTGAGAATACATCAACTGTACAGGTGATTATCCATATGCATACCGCTTTGAAGCACCTACTACCTCATGGTTTTCTTATTTGCTGTTAAGAATTGAGGAAATCCGATGTAAATGAAGTGTAGTTAAAATAAAGAAGTATTATATGATTCAGCCAATTTTGGAATGGATACTTAATGGTAGATAAATCCTTACTACTTAGTGCAGTTTGTTGACAAAAGTTTTAATTGCAAATTGGTGCAACTTTTTATTCTGTAAGACCATTTGTGGCATTCCCGTGTTTATTCATAGCTTTGTGCCCGTGTGGAATTTAATCACGAGTTTCGAATAAATGTCGCAGCTTGATCACCGCATCCTTGCAACTGCAACTCTGGTTTCAGTAGGTGCTTTATGGTGGTCAACTAGAAAGCTGGACCTACATCCTGCCATTCGATCTCTGATCGGAAGCACTGCTGGGATGGCTGCTCTTCAGGTTATTATTTCAATTTGAATGTTATCTGGGTTTATCTCTGGTTGCTTTGCCCACTCTGTATCTTTCCCGCTGATCAAGTGATATGAAAGTTTTTCCATAAAAAAAGTGATATTGAAGCATATGTTGTGCATATCATTCAGAGGATCTATCTCAATGTTTTTACGAGTCTTCTCATGATCAGTTTATTCCATGTCTTTTGTAGATTGAACTTCTTCAAGAATATCTTGTTTCCTGTCTGAGGTATTAATTTATTATTGTTTGTAGGTTACATTAGGAGTTTCAACGCTTCTTTCATACGTTCCTGTTTCACTGGGCACTGCACATCAGGCTGGAGCTCTAACGCTTATGACACTTATGTTACTGTTGAATCACACTGTTCGAAGGCCGTCTCTGTCCCTTCTCAAGTCTCTGCCTCAAGTTGTCAAAGCAAACTAATTGCTTCCCATTCAAATTTTACAAGAACGATTAAAAAAAATTGCTCGCATGTCAATTTTTTATCTTTATAGAGGTTGATAATAGACACTTAACATATTGTATTTTTGTTGTGGCCTCCCTGGCCAAATTTTGGCCGGTGGAAAAGTGTGAAACATGTTGGCTTCTGCCCTGGTTCGTATTTATATTTCTGAAGCCACATGTTCATGATGATCACAAAAGTGATCTGTTAACAGCATGCTGGAATTTTATTTTGGAGAGAATTATTCTCAATCTGATTTGTATCTTCATTGCGATGGTGAAAACTTGGCACAATTGGTTATATTTTGTCTGTATTATTAATTTTATTTTTAATTTAAATGTAAATTAGTGTAAGTTACTAATGTTTTTGAACAGATAGTTGTAGCTTTTTTATTATAATGCTCTTAATTTAGTTTAATTTTAGTCGAACGGATGCAATTCAAATTCTTTTTTCTTTTTTTCGACTGCCTGAATTCCATTTCTAACTGATGAAGTCAAATTTTACATGTAAATGAAAGTTTTGAGCAATCTATTGTTTTAATGGACTTCTAACCAATTTATTTTCATTTGGTTCAATCAATTTAGTTTGATTTCAAGACCTACTATTGATGGAATAAATAGAGCTTACACATGTTGACAATGGCTGACTTTTAATCATTTTTTAAATTATGTTCAAAATAGAAATCGTCAAAAAGAATGTGTTTAACATTTTCACAGGATGATCACTCTACTTTATAATTTTGTAATGAATTGTGAACTTATTATGACCAAATTCTAAAGACATTTGAAATATATGACTATTCAAGTAAAAACAGATAATCGTTTTTAAATTCACAAAACAATTGAATTGAATTCTCTAAATAATAGAGGCTTGTTAAAACTGATTTAAAAATTATAAATGCAATATATAAATATATATATATATTGCTTTCTTCCCGTTTAATATTTTCGTCGTTTTTCATCTGGCGTTTTGAATGAGATTCGTTCCTCATCTTTAAACTCCTTGAAATGTACTATGTTACAACTTAGGAATAGGGACTAAAACACATAAAATCTTAAATATAAAACCTATTTTGTAGTATAAATTACATTACAAAATAGATTTTATATTTAGAATCGGAGTAATATTATGTACAGCTCCCCACCAAAAAAGAGAATTATCCACAGCAATAATATTTACGATCTAGTGTTCTTCGTGGGCAAAGGCCTGATCTGGCGGGGCCACGTGTCAGAATGAATCTTTGCTTACATTGTACTGACAAGTACACTTTTCTTTTGTTATTGACAGACAATGCTTATGCCGTCCGAAGTAGGGAGATATGGTATTATTATCCGGGAACCTATTAACCACGATAAATAGATAAGTTTACTCTATGAACCATAATATTTAAATTCCCAAAATTGTAAAATTATTTATTGAGCTTTATTGTCAACGACTCAACTGATCGGTTTCGAGAGAGAGGGAGCGGTGTTAACTAGAAGAAACTGCTTCGGAGTAATCCTGGTCATTTCATAACGAACCTGCAAGAAGAAACTGAAATGGTCTTTCAAGCCAAAATTTTCCTTCACTTCATCTTTATTACTGGTGAGTCATAGTTTATTTAGTGTTAATATTCTTCTGGAATTATCATGATACCCCCTTGAATTTGCTCTTGCTTTCATCTTCTTTCTACTTGTTTATGATAAGAAATGGAGACTCATCCAATAAAGTTAGAACCAACTCTCATGTGCTAACTTGTATCTTTACAATTTTATTTTTCGATTTTCAAATATGGGTTTTTGTCTTCCGGGTTCAATAATGGCTTACACTGTCTTTGGCACTGAATATCTCTGCTTTGCAGCGCATGCAAACTGTTAGACGAATTGTTTGAGACATGCAAGGTGTGTTCTTTTCCCTCGTCTTGATTATCAGGTTCTAAGTTTTCCTTCGATTCACATCCTGATTTCTATATTGTTTCCATGATTTTCCCTATGTTTATAGTTTTGTCTAGGAAAAAGGGCGTTCTGTTTTGCTGCATGATGGATTGAAATGTCAGTTGAAATAATGTTTAATACTTTCTCATTTCAAAGATTGTAAAAACAAATCCAAGAATTGGCTGCCAATATACCTTGTTTTTGGTAATTCGTTGTCCTTGTAAGTATAGAGGTCTGAGGTACCGTTATGAATACTAAATGATGTTTATTGTGATAGATGGACTCTCTAAATGAAAGACCAGTTCAGGAGATCGGAAACGAGACTCCTCATTTCCCTGAAATATCTGCTCAGAAAACACTAAGGAGTATTGTCTACAACAGTATACAAATTGTTATTTTCTCAAATAGACTCAACTTGCTTATGCCTCTGGGGCCTTTGGCAATTATTGTGGAGAGACTGACTAATCATCACGTGAGTTCTAGTTCGAGCTTAAACAGATCTTCACTAAGTTTTCTTCATATGTCTTATGTTGAAATGTAAAGATGGGTTGCAGGGTTGGGTCTTCACTCTGAGTTTGTTGGGTATAATGCCTTTGGCTGAGCGGCTAGGTTATGCTACAGAGTAATATTGCATTTTTGTTTCAAATTTCGTTTTGTCTATCACGCTTTTAAGGTTTCTGATGCTATTATTCTCTCGGTGTTATATAGGCAGCTGGCGTTTTACTCTGGAGACACTGGTAACGATTTTAACAGTTCAAATAAGCAGCATTGTACCAGATTTGTCTTTCTTTTTTTTTTAATCTCTTGAAAATAGTTGTATGAAATGTGTGATTTGAATGTGAAGCACTAAGTCTTGTCTTTTTTGTAAAGTAGTAATCTGGACTGAAGCCTCTCCCCCCTTCCCCCTGCCTCTTCCTTTCTCTCTTCCACTCTATTTATCTATATATCGTGTTACATGTTATGTCGTATTTGAACTTAGGATTGTTGGTTGAAAAAAAATCATGGATGCCAGTTGTTTACTTTAGTCTATAATGTAGTAGGTCCTTCTGAGCAATTCCACGTAACTCAACAAAAAGGAAGGGAATTAACTTGGCCTTCTGGTGGCTTGTGCAGCGTTTAATTCAGGCTATTAGTGACTTACAGAGAGGAAAATTGAATAGGGTTGGTGCTCTTTTAACAATAGGGAATAGTTTTGCATAGATTGAATTGAAACTTCAGATCCTGTGCCTGTTGGTTACGTGCACCTTAATTTTCCATTGGTTGGTCATGTAGACATCAATCTTATATCAGTTCCAAGCTTGTGAGTTCTGATGGTAAAGTGAGGCTTCATGTCCAAAAGGAAAAACATCGATTTAACTTTTGCTTGAGTTTGAGCAATTCTTTCTACTAGTTTCGTTCTCTTAACTTATTCCATTGGATCTTGCAGCTGGGGGTCTTCTAAATGCCACTTTTGGAAATGCAACAGAACTGATCATCTCAATATATGCACTGAAAAGAGGAATGACACGAGTTGTCCAACTCTCTTTGCTGGGGTCAATTTTGTCTAACTTGTTGTTGGTGCTTGGATGTGCATTTTTTTGTGGTGGGATTGTTTTTAATAAGAAGGAGCAGGTTTTTAACAAGGTAGACATGTTAGCTTCTGCTTCTTTCTTTATCTTCCTTAGTTTCACCTTTAATATAATTGACCAAAGCTGATTCACATGAGCACGCAGGGAACTGCTACAGTGAACGCAGGATTGCTATTGATGGCAGTTATGGGCTTACTTTTTCCTGCTGTTCTTCACTACACACACACTGAGGTCCATTTTGGGAGCTCAGAGTTGGCCCTTTCAAGATTCAGCAGCTGCATCATGCTTGTGGCTTATGCTGCATATCTATTTTTCCAGTTAACTAGTCAAAGAAGTCTATACCTCTCTTTGAATGAGGTTGGCCTTCTTGCCTCAAGTTTTTCGCTCTGTTTGTCTCTTAAATTCATTCATTTTTTTCTGGTTTGTGCACATGCTATTCCCTTTGAAACTCTTGATTTCTTTTCTTTTTTTAAATTTTGCCACGAATACTGTCTCTGACTTTCTCAGAACATTATCTGTCAAATGAGTGAATAACTGCAGGTAAGATTATCAGCTTGTTAAAGCAATTTTTTGAGTTAGAATTAAATAGAGTAATTGTTCACTGCTCATATTCTTTTAAGACTTCTAAAATTAATGGATGGCTTTTCTGGTGCATACCTGTTCTGATGTATGTTTAAAACTAACATTTTGATCCTTGACTCACTAAGTTGTGTGATGCATGATGAGAATTCAGGAGGAGGGGAATCATGGAAACTGCATAGAAGATGATGAATCTCCTGATATCTCTAAATGGGAATCAATAATCTGGCTTTCAATTATGACTGCTTTGATATCAATTCTGTCAGAATATTTAGTTGGTGCCATAGAGGTGACTAATTTTTCAACTTTTTCTCTCTGACATATTGCATGAACGCCTTGAAAATTCCAGTCTTGTCTAAAATAAAGTAGCATCATCTGTCTGAGATTTATCTGTGTTTCTTTTTATTCCCTTGTATGCTCCCTGGTATACATATCAACTGAAGAGAAATTGAAGCAGATTCTTCAGAGTTTAGCTTCTGATAGCTTAGCGTACCAACCTCTCATCATATCATGTTAGCGTGTTTGCAAAAATGGAACTAAATATAAGTTTTGGTGACTGCTGAGTTAATGTTCTTGGAAGGATTATTTTGAAAGAAGTGAGGCTTTATATATGATCATCTGGTTCACAGGGAGCATCAACTTCATGGAAAATGCCAGTGTCTTTTATCAGTGTAATATTGCTTCCCCTAGTGGGCAATGCTGCGGAGCATGCCAGTGCTGTCATGTTTGCAATGAAAGATAAGCTTGTAAGCTTTCATCAATTCTTTTGTTTTCCCACAAAAATAAACAAAGCCCATTTTTTCACATTGATGGTTTCTATCACCTGCAGGATATTTCCTTGGGAGTAGCAATAGGTTCATCCACACAGATATCTATGTTTGTGGTAGGTACTTAATCCTGGGTGAGAATGCAATGCTCTCTGAATTTGTAAAGATTTCGCTAATTCTGGTTTCTTCCAGTTTTTTTCACATGAGAATCTATGTCTGTGTTTGTCATTGTAACTTAGTATTCAAATATGTGATAATGCTGGAATCAGAAGAGATGGTATCTAACATGGAGAGTTAGAGTTATTTCAAGAAGAAAGTGGTTTATAGTGCTTAGTAGGACTAAAACCATATATAACGAAATAACAAACTAAAGTGAACTACTTCCTTCGGATAGCAATTGATGCAACATTCATAGCCTCTCATCTGGATTATTCAGTCAAGACTTCCTCATATATCAAACTGCAAATTCCTGCTATTATTCCTGCTTGGATAATTTGTTTATTTATTGAAACTTTGTCCTTGTCTTGCGGTAAGTCAACTTTCTTTTCTATATCCTGAATATATTGCTTCATTATTTCCGCTGTCATTTTGCAGATACCACTTTGCGTGATTATTGGGTGGATAATGGAGCATCCTTTGGACCTAAACTTTCAACTTTTCGAGACGGCATCACTGTTTCTAACTGTTATTGTTGTAGCCCTCTTGTTGCAGGTTTGTCTTCAGAGATATATAATTTTTATGCAAAATATTGATATCATTCTGGGAACCTATAAAATGTAAATAGACTTAAAAATAAGTTAGCGCACTTTAGCTTGCGTGGGCAGAGTTAAAAGAGCCTTCTATCATTTGAGATAGTGGTGTGCTGCCAATGGGCCAAACCCATTTTGATTGATTACCATCATGGCATTCACAAGAATACACTTTTGATAACTTTGTTTTGAATTTGCAGGAAGGAACTTCTAATTACTTCAAGGGACTTATGCTTATTCTATGCTATCTGATAGTGGCAGCTAGTTTCTTTGTACATGCAGATCCTTCTTATTAGGACACTTCTTATTAGGACACCGTGTTAAAAGAATAGCCAAATGTTATACTATCTTGTGCTATTGTAAATGTGAGAGGTTCCTTTGTTTCGATTTTTAAACTTCAACCTTCTGGTTGTGCTTCCTAATTTCTATTGTAAACTAAATTTCTTGTAGATTCCTCCTGATAAGGTCCTAAAATTACAAGAAAAGTTTGTGTTCAGCTGTCCTACTGTAAATTTAAAAGATCAAGTTCTGATTTTTAAATTTCCATCTTCTGCTTGAGCTTCATAAACGCCATTCAGCGTCATTATTCTTCACTGATACGAATTGGAAAACTGAAAAAGGCTTGCATGCATTTTAGCGGAGGCCAATAAGAGTTTCACATGTTAAATGCCAGAAACATGTAAAAATATCATATGGTACAAAACTCTCACACACACAGGTTCCTGCGATAAATTCGATACAGTGATTTAGACCCGTAACAGCTACTCTCACAAAGAAGAAAAGTCGGTTTAAGGTTGCGCATCTAGAATGGCTGTTAAAACACGAGATTAAGACATTAAACAGGTAATTATCTGTAGTTCACGTACAGATGATTCTAGAGGTGTACACGTATCTTGCATATCTGTGGCATTCCTTCATTCTCTCTTTACGTGTCTGCCTTCTGTAAACTCTGTTGTAACACTATTGAGTGTGTGGTGTGTGCGCGCGTGTTCAACACAAGATGCCAGGCCTATTATCGAGGATTCATTCATTCATTCATGCTCGGAACTCGTAATAGCCATTCTGACAAAGAACAGATGTTGGAGTGGTTTGGTAATGGCTGAGTTTGGCAGGTAGCTAATAGTAGCTTCAACATTTTTGAAAAGGAGATAGACTGTGAGTTTCCAAATAGAAAAGGGCCTTAGGGATATCTTGGCGATTTTTCTTTCCTTTTTTTTTCCTATTAAATATGAGCACTTTTCTCAACCAGAATTCGAACCTTAATCTAGGAACACTAGCCGTTTTCGCATCATGTTGGGGTATCTTGAAGATATTCGCATTCAGTAAAATGAAAGGCTTGAGCATAGGTAGGTAAAGGCTTGTGTATCTTACAGTCAAATGCAACGGCGACTTCTTTTAGAAATTAAAACCAATCACGCCATTTACTTCATACTTCGCTTCTGCTAATTATTGCCTGCCGACGGGTCTTTCTGGAGAAATGGGTGCGGAGGATGTCGTTGAACAACGACCCTTCATCGAAGCCTCGTCTTCCTCTTCCAGTGTGATTCAAGAGCCTCCTCGTAGAACAGGTAATTAAGTACGACTGATAATTTGTTGGTTTCTCGTATGAATTCAGCTGAGAGTTTTTTTAGGACTGAGATGAGCTCTTATTATTATTATCTTCCTGAGTTCAATCTTCTTGAGATAAATTTGATGTGTTGGGTTCAAGTTTTATCAGTTTCTCGGATAACGTAACCCAGAAAAGAAAAGGAGGAGGAAACAATAAAATCAAAGTCTTCATTATCATCATCAACACAAGATTCTTTGTTTAAACAGTTTAACGTTTAGTATGGACGAACTCTGTGAGCAGAAGTAGATATATATATATATATATATATATATCTAATAGAATCAAAGGGCGGAAAGAAGAGTGGAAATTCGTTTTGACTTACAGGTGGGGGTGAATGGTAGCTACTTTGCATTGTGGGGGTAGTAAATAGATTATATTTAATACAATTTGGGAAACTATAAACTGAACAAATCAATAAAATTATGAATTCATAGAGATATATCAAGTTGCATATTATTTATATGGATTATGGAATAATGGCTGAAAAAATATGATGAAATTAAGGAATAATAAATGATAAAGAATGAGTTACATGTGTGGATGAGAAACAGGGAACGTGGGGAGCGCAGTGGCACACATAATAACAGGGGTGATAGGAGCAGGAGTTCTGTCATTGGCTTGGAGCATTGCGCAGCTTGGTTGGATTGTGGGCCCTCTCAGCATCTTTCTGCTTGCGGGCACCACCCTTGTTTCCACCTTCCTCCTCTCCGACGCCTACCGCTTCCCTCATCCTCACGGCCCCGTCCGCAACCCTACCTTCATGCATGCCGTCAAGCACTACTTAGGTCTGTTCTTGTCTCACTCTCCACTTGTTACGACGTCCTAGTGTGAGTGAGTGGACTTCACTTTACCAATATTATTAACCATGACATACTACCTCCTGTTCTTAATATAAGATCCTGTTTGACTTTTATTTTAATTCTAAATATAAGACTCCAATCTACTTTGTCTCTCATATTTATATATATTTTTTTTAAAGTAGCCCTTCTAACAATGATAGTTATATTCAATACATTTGATTAGTAAGGATATTTTAGGAAAGACAACATCTATTCAAGACAAATAACTAACTCAACTTACCTTCTTAATCTCTTCAAATTAGTCAACTGGCTCTTATAATTAGGATCGGAGCTAGTATAATGTTAAGTCCTATTTATTTAGGCGAGCTGGAAACTCTCAAATTATTAAAATGTCTGATTGTTAGTGGACTTGACTTGATGACTATGAATCGTGACTCAAAGGCGGAGTAATAGTTAGAATGTCAAGTTCTGTTTATCTAGATGAGAATGTCCAAGTGTGAGTCGGCTTCACTTGAAGTTTATTAACCATGACTTGCCCAAAAAACAAAAAAAGAGTCATGATTATAACGTCAAACTCAATTTATTTAGACTAGATAAGTCTCAGATTGATACTTATCCGATCTTAAATGTAAGATCAATATTATAGTTAATATAAGTCTTATATTTAAAATTAAAAGAGTAGACTGTGAGAATGTTCAAGTGTGAGTGAAATTGAGTTTACGCGGTGTCTTAATGATGATTTATATTTGACAGGAGATAGAAGTGCGAAGATTTCGGGGGTGCTGGTGGAAATCTATAGGGTTGGTACTGCCACCGCCTACGTCATTACTTCTGCTTCCTGCGGCAGGTATTTTTCTGCCTCTTTTCCTCTCAATCATGTTCTTTTTACCCCCATCGTTCTTCAACTTATTATTTAAATCTCAATATCTTAAAAAAAAAAAAAAGAAAGCGAAATTATAATAATTGAGCAGCTTTTAATATGTTTTTCTCAACAACTTGGGTCCTGCGTTCTTCACAAATGTAAAAGGATAGGAAGAAAGAGTTCTTTTAGTGACGTGAGTTATTCTTTAAACTTCAAATTATATACAAGATATAACTCACATATACGTTATTATGGAACCACCACGCTAGCAGATACCAGGATATTTATTCCTTTTGATTGCCAACCGAAAAACTTCCTCTTGGTCTTGGGGGCTTCGTTTCACGTGGAAATTGAAAGTGCCGCTATTTCATTTGATTCCACAATGGGATAGGCTGGGCTGGGCTGGGCTGGGCTTTGATATTTGGGCCAAGAAATTTAAATTAGAATATCGATTTTTAGCGAATTGAGCGGAAATAAAAAACACTTGTGACCCCAAAAGAAGAGAAATGGACTCGTGAGGTTGGGGGCCCTTATACACTTAACTTGCCAAAAATCTAAGGCCCGAAGTCATTTTTGTCCAAATACTTCACTATACTGTCATCCTAAAGAGGTGTTTGGCAACTCTCGAAAGTGCTTCTCAAAAGCACTTTTCAACAAAATGAGGCAAACTCCTCTACATATTTACTTTGTAAACTGTAAAAGTATTTTTGAAACCATAGTTTAGTTTCTATATAAACACCCTCTGCGTAATTGTGACATATACACACGTTAACACAACATTTTTTCAGGGACACTATATCATAAAAGATATAAAGTGAAGTTTGATATAAAGATCGAATTTTTAGGGATTACAAGAGATTTCAAGATACAATAAAAATCCAGAAGGGATAAAAAAGATAATAATTGTAGAGTTCAAATAAAATTTTTTTTAGAAAATATGAAGTAAAATAATGAAAGAATATAAGTATATAAATTAAAACAATATAGATTTATATTTGGAAATTATTTCTTGGTCAATATATGAAAATTATATACTTGTCAAACTAAAATTTAAAATTATGTATTTATTGTGATGCATTTGAAAACTTTTTAAATGTAAAAATAAATTAGCGAAAAATGTTCTAACAACCTCTTTTCTTTTCTCTGGACGACAATGATCAAAACAAGTCAGACAGAGTCAGCTCAAAAAAAAAAAAAAAAACAAGTCAGACAGAGAAAATTCACAAGTTGATCAAGTTGTGAGTTGAAACTTTGAAAAGCTGAAACAGCTCAAATCAAAAGAAGACGACAAAAAAGTAAGGAGAAGTGTGAAAGAGGCAACACTGGTACCGACTTATTTGCCCAATAATAATAATAATAATAATAAGGGATAAGATATTTATATATGTCGGAAGCATTTAAGAGGGAGTACTTCACATCTTAAAGTTTTTTTTTTTAATTCTGAGGGAAAATCCCAAAAAAGGTCATTGGAATATAAAAAATTTCAGATTGGATCTTAAAATTTCGTAAATAACAGAAAATGTCAGTGACCCAATCTGTCATTTGTAAAATCAAGAAGAATTAACAACTTTATCCTCATTTGTATTCATTCACTATAATGATTTAAGAAATCACTATAAGGGTTTAGGCGTTACCTAGATTCGTGTAGCGAATAACTACTCACTTTTTCATAGTCAGGTATCTTGTTATTAACTACAACTAATTTTGTAATCACTAGAATAATGTAAGCATTACTTAGATTCGTGTAGAGAATAACTACTCACTTTTTCATAGCCAGGTACCTTATTATTAACTACAACTAATCCTATAATGACTAGAACAGTGTAAGCGTTACCTAGATTTGTTTAGAGAATAACTACTCACTTTTGCTTAGCCATGGGCAAAATTGTCAATTTCTCTTAATTTCACAAATGAAAAATTGGGTCAATGATCCTTTCTGTCATTTACGAAATTCCAGGACCCAATATGAAATTTCCTATATTTCAAGGGTTTTTTCTGGAATTTTTTCTAATTCTTATATATCGTAAAAATGCTACAAAATAAAAATTTTAGAGCATATAAGAGCTAAAAAATTTTTTAAATGTTGAGTGTTCCTTTATGAATGCTTGGACATATATAAGAACCTTATCCCTAATAATAAATTAATAATAATAAAGGTGAGGACTGAGGACAATAATACAGTGAGGAAACGACGTCAGAGGGATGGGCTTATAATCCAACGACCACAAAAGTCCATAAAGTTAACAGGCCATTGGGCCCATACGGTCCCATTTGGAGGTTGTCATCTTCGATCAAGCCCAATCAACAGGACCAACCTCACCAGTTTTGACGTGAGGGACCAGCTCCTTTCCCAGCGGAGCAAAGAGCAAAGGTTAAGAAAGATATCTACATTTAGTACCTCATAGTATTTTGAATAAAATTACTTTTAATAAGAGAATACCTATGCTTTAAAAAAAAAAAGAAAAAAGAAATCACTAACTTCAAAGGTTAGTCTAATATGCACATGCTTCTTTACTCCTATTTATAGGGTATAAAGAGAAGATTTTTTTGTTCTATTTTATAAAATTATATCATTAATTTTTAACATGAATATATACTTACTGATCCTCTATTTATTACTATCTTATGTCCTTAATATAAGAACTAATTAATTAATTTGAGTAAATTAAAGAAGTTCTTTAAGTTGGTTATTTGTAATAATTAAGTATTATTTTTTTAAAAAATATTTTTACTAATCATGTATCAACTAAAACTATTCTTTGATTCACCTTTTAACATGTGCAACTACTATAAAGATTATTTTGGAAATAAATTAATAAATATAAGGGACAAAGTATATTAGAATCTTATATTTAGGATCAAATTAAAAGTTAAATTAGCTTTTGTATTAAAAACCGGAGGTAGTATTGTGTGGATTATAATATTAAATATGAGTAAAAGTTGAAAATTGCTAAATTTTATTTTAAAACAGAATTTATGAAATTTAAGGTTTTCTTTATTCCATTTAAACCATGATTTTGAATATTTTTAATGTGAAACTTAATATACACCTCAAAAAGTTTGGCAAATACATATATACGCGCACACACCTGAAAAAGTACAAGAACTTTGGTTGAAGTATATAGTAGGGCAAGTCAATCTCAGATATAAAGTATGGGCTATGGCTTCCCCTGTCAAATATTTGGTATATATCCCAAAAAAAAGAAAAGAATAACAATGCATATATATGAAGTAGGGTTTATGTCGCAGTCAAACTTTCGAAAGTCTATCTAACATCCCAAATTATTATACCTACTTTTTCTATCCCAAATATTATACCTACTTTTTCTATCCCAAATTATTATACCTACTTTTTCTATGCTATGTATTGGAATCAAGTTGACAGGAACCGAAAATTATGCAGTTCAAAACTCTTGACGTATCCATCATATGTTCAAACCCCGGTTGGATGAGATTATTAGAAAATTCAACTGAAAAAGGAACAAAATGTCCGTTCCCATCCATTATTAACCCATCAGAATCACGGAAAGGAATATATATATATATATATATATATATATATATATAAAGCACATATGCACTATACATTGTTCATCACTCTTTTGGATCCTTAGATTCCTGCCTGTGACATTATCAGAAAGCAAATGAATCTGGTAAACGAATCTGGTCGTCTAGTTTATCAGATGCCACACGGTCCCCATAATATAAAACTACTCCTTCTCATATTCGATTCATTTCCCGTTTTGGTATTTATTTATTTATGGTCTTGCTTGTTTGGTAGGTTTTATCTTCTCGAGTAGTTTGGTAGCTAACCAGGCTCAAGAATGTTAAATTAGTGTGTCTAACCCACTGTGAGCTTCAAAGGAATAGGCTATTATAATAAGCATAGAGGAGGCTGCAAGATAAATTTAATTCTATTTTAAATAAATGAATTCTTAAATGTCAGTAAAGATTCAAGTTTATTAAGTAAATTTCACTGATATCTTTGGAAGCAAGTACCTTTTTTCCCCCCCCTTTGGAAGAAAGAAGCAAACAATTTTATTTCCAAACAAAATAAGTTAATTTAATAATTTGAGGCCAGGAGGGGTTCTTCTCCCTGCCTCAGTGAATCTTTAATTTAACAACGAATAGCTCTTTTTACTTGAAAGAAATATTTTAAAATAGATTTGTACCTCCTTTCCATGTTTTTACTAGAAATATCTGTTTTCATCATTAAATCCATAGTCACTATCTCAAACAGTCAATAAGAATATTTAAGTCGGCAAAAAAAAAAGAGTATTTAAAAAAATTAAAATATATTTATTGATAATAATAATTATTATAAGTTACCAAATGAGGTAAATTACACATGTTAATTTAATATATTTTTCGTTTTTCAAGATATAATTCATTATTTGAAAATTAGTTAAATCTTTTTATTTCCAAACAAAATAAGTTAACCACCTATTTTTAAGTTTCATGAGGTGATTGAAAATGCCATATAATAAAAACCAGGGAGAATATATTTTTGATCATCATCATTATTGTGTGAAATTATGAAGACGCCCTTTCAAAAATGTGCATCAAAACGTGTGCCAGCCATTAAAAACGGATAACCAACCAGGCTCTTGAGTCTCTGTGCATTAGAACGGCAACCGCCATCTTTTAATTATAGTACTAGTATTTCATTTTCTGAAATATTTTAGTTATAAGTTTTCAATTTGTCTCTTGCCACATTAATTACATCAAACGGTCGACATAAATATCTTTAACTTCCAAAAATGGTTGGCCGGTCATTTTAGCAAAAAGCTCTCAACTCTATTTTCATTTCTTGTCATAACTCAGTAGTTTCTGAATATATATGCTGTAAATATCAAGTTACCAGGGTGTCAAGGCCCCATCATGATTTCAATGCTTGATCAACTAAATTTACAGCACACTGGATATGCCATTAAAATGGTTTAAATTTGTTTATTAACATTAATATAATTTGGTATCAATTTTTTATTATATAAAGATATCCATCCATGAATTGATTCGGATCATGGGTTTGATGAAAAATAATAGCCTTTGCTACTTTGACTTCTACCAAGCTAGAAAGGATCCAAAAATTGTTGTAGGGTCTAGATGAATACTATTATTTACAAGGTAAATTTTAACTACTCTTTACATTACGTTTTCCCTTTACAGAATTATTCACTTGACACTTGTGGACAATAGCATAAGACAAAGACATCATAACATGCAATAAGGGATTCTTGTGGTGTTTAACACAAATATTGTCCATCACGTTTCAAACAACACACCTCCTACACACAAAACAAGACAATCTTCATCAGAACATTATCAGAATCTTGTGTGGTTATAAATTTGAGTACTCTAAACTGCCCGTGCTTGATTCTATGTTGGAAGTCATCAAAATCATGATTTTGATATAACGTGCTATAATTTTACTGGTTTCTGATGTGAAACCAAACATGCTCTTAGTTAGATCTCATGTTTTATCTTGTGATCCCTATACTTAACTTCACAAGTCCTCAAAAGTCCAACGCACTTCTTCACCATGATTAACCCTTATGGATAAGGACAAGCCATCCACTTGCTTATGCAGCCACAAAAAAATGTCCCCCCCTCCCCACGGGTCTACCATTATTGAGGCTCTTTGAACACCATGGAAGATAAAACACACATGTTGTTTTCTATTAACTTGCTTGGTTCAACTCGCCTTTAGGTACTGAAAGAAACCACACACTACGGCACACACTGTTAACGCGAAAAAGTGGAATATTATATAACATATAATAAAAGCACACACGGCACTCGTTTTTTGATTTAAGCAATTGGTATGCCTACCCACTCACATGTCTTGAAAGATTTGGTCCCCAAGGGTTGAATATTTTACTACTTAGCCCCATAAAGTAGATGGTTGCAGATCATTCCTGCATTATTAGTTTGTCATGATGACTAGTGCAGTCTTCAAAGTCTGCTGATAATAATTCTGAAGCAATTACATCTTACCTCATTGTTTGCTTCATAGCTTCAAATAAGCAACTACGTCAGGTTGGGTATCCTTCACGGCTTTTTCTTCTCTACTTATAGTGAACCCCAGCTTTAGGTTTGAGCCAAAAAGCAGAGGGAGCTTCATTGGTAATTGAGATTTGAGAGTCTTGTTTGGTCTTATATATATTGAAATGTTTCTTTAGTTCAGGTTCTTTGAATCACACGTTGATGATACACAGTCACACCAGCAAATGTTCTTTTTCCAGATTTCAATTCAACTTCTCTGCTCAGACACTGACATTAGACACGACACACATTTACTATCTTAGGCTCAGGATTTTCATATTTTATATGAGGGTATAGTTTGTCTTGAATGTGCTTCTCTTAGGCATTTTTGTCTTGTGGGATTCACAGGGAGTGACTAAGAACTTCTTGGCCTTCTATTGATCTGGGATTTTGGATTAAAGATGGCTGTTCAAAACTCTCTACAAATAGCAAGTGGTCCTTATGATGATGATGGGCGAGCCAAAAGAACCGGTAAAAATCCTCTACAACAACTAAAAACCAAATTATCTTTCATGTATTCTTCTTCTTCTTCTTCAATCTCATCCTTCAAATTCCACTACACCAGGAACACTGACAAGTGCCGTTGCTCACATCATTACTGCTGTTATTGGTTCTGGTGTGCTTTCACTGGCATGGAGCACTTCCCAATTAGGATGGATTGCTGGTCCAGTTGCCTTGCTTCTATTTGCAATTGTCACATACATTTCCTCCTTCCTCGTCTCTGATTGTTACAGAACCTCAGATTCTAAATCTGGCAAAAGAAACTACTCTTACATTGGAGCTGTTAGAGTCTACCTTGGTACTATTACCACGCCAACTCTTTCATTTTTCTTGTCTATTTAAGAAGCACAAACACTAATTCAGATACGACATGACCACAACATATGTATTGTTTAAGTGCAGTTTCAGGCGTTGTGTCGTGTCTGATACAAGTGTCAAACGTTTGTAAAATAAGATATGGTGTCATGTTTATACATTCTGATTCAATTTAGTGTTAGTTCAGGAAATAAAAGGACATGGGTGGCTGGTTCCCTTCAATTTCTGACCTTGTATGGGACTTGTGTTGCTTACGTAATTACCACAGCAACATGTATGAGGTACTTCACTTGTTAAACCCCTCATGAAATGAGAAAACTGCAAATGCTAACTACTTAATCTTGTGTTTCATGAACAATTAGTTTCAAAACTTGCTCCAATACAAAATACGACAACAAAATATGCCATGTTGAAGTACAGTTTAAAGTGTAGTCTACTGATGGATAGATGATGCTGACACAGAGGCTGTGTGATTGCTGATGTTTTTAACATGTTCTAAAGACAAATATTTGATTTTCTGATGCAGGGCAATTCTAAAATCAAACTGTTATCACAAGGAAGGGCACAACGCTCCTTGCAATTATGGGGATACCTTGTTTATGGTTTTGTTTGGATGCATTCAGATTATCATGTCATTCATACCAGATCTCCACAACATGGCGTGGGTTTCAGTTGTGGCTGCAATAATGTCCTTCACGTACTCATTCATTGGACTAGGACTTGGCATTGCTCAAACTATAGGTAAGCCTCAATATTAAAATGCTGCTGTCACAATATCAAGCCTTGCCTTCATTTTACAATTCAAACTTTTGAGCTTCAATAGTTCTTGATGTAGTATTAAAGAATGATGGGCTTACGGCTTAATTTTTTGCCACACTTAAGTTCAAATAGCTTAAAGAGGGTATACTGCAGTCTAACAGATTATCATAGAATTATATATAGTCTTTCAGTTAATTACTTAAACTTTTCATTTAAAATAATAGTCTCTATAAAAATCTACCGAACTGAGAGAAAGTCTGTTGTGGGTTATATTTCTGAAACAATGAATGGAAAAAAAGTATGGGAAATCAAGATTTTATATAAGTCATTCTCCTTATGGCTGATATTGCAGAAAATGGGAGAATCATGGGGAGCGTAACAGGAGTACCTGCAAAGAATGTAGTTGAGAAGTTATGGTTAATCTTTCAAGCACTTGGTGACATAGCCTTCGCCTATCCATACTCGGTCATTCTGCTCGAGATACAGGTAAATATCATATCCCAGTGTTGAAAAGAAGAAGAAGAAGAAACACAGTTTAAAGCTAAAGCATAGCACTGAACCCCCCCCCCCTCTTTGAGTGAAGGATACCTTAGAGTCTCCTCCTCCAGAAAACCAGACCATGAAGAAAGCATCCATGGTTGCAATCTTCATTACAACATTCTTCTACCTCTGTTGTGGATGCTTTGGATATGCAGCATTTGGAAACAACACACCAGGAAATCTCTTGACAGGCTTTGGCTTCTATGAGCCTTACTGGCTCATTGACTTAGCTAATGTTTGCATTATTCTTCATTTGATTGGAGGGTATCAGGTAGTTCTACTGCTATACTAGTCATTGTTTTTAACATGAATTTTGACACGTAACTTCCTCTTTTATCATGTTCTCTAACTCTTAGTAACTATGGTTCTCTTTTCCGCAGATTTTCAGCCAACCCATATACAGTTCTGCAGAAGGATGGGCTTCAAGAAAATTCCCAAACAGCGGGTTTGTGAATAACTTCTACAAGCTGAAACTGCCTCTGTTGCCAAGTTTCCAGATAAATACCTTCAAGTTTGTGTTTAGAACAGTGTATGTGATTACAACCACAGGGCTTGGAATCCTGTTTCCTTACTTCAACCAAGTTCTGGGAGTGTTAGGGGCGATGAGCTTTTGGCCATTGGCTATATATTTCCCAGTGGAGATGTACTTTGTACAGAAGAAAATTGAAGCTTGGAGCAGAAAATGGATTGTGCTCAGATGTTTTAGCTTCGTTTGCTTTCTTGTTACTGTGGTAGGTCTTATTGGGTCTCTGGAAGGAATCATAAGCCAGAAACTTGGCTGAAGAAGATTTATCATTATGCTTTAGATACACATTGAGGTAAAGTATTGTAAGTGTTTGTTACCAAGTTTTACAATAAAAAAACATTACACGTGTAATGTTTATAAGAAAACTGGTAGCGAACATAAAAAATAGGAGCAACTCCCAGAATGAGAAAGAAGGAAGAATATGGTTTAGTCTGGAGGCTAGATTTCTTGTGAAGGGTGAAAATTGCAGAATAATTTTAGTTCTGCTACAGAACCTTGTAATGTGGTTTGGCTTTTGCTTCTTAATAGGAAGATATATAAAAAGGAAGAGCAAATTGTCAAATTGATGAGTATTATTTTGTGCAATGTTTTTGACGTCATTTTCTTTATAATATAATAATATATTGAACATTTGAAATAACTGCTCCTCGGAAGACCATTTTATCTATGAAATAGTAATCAATTTCTAGCATGTATACATGTTTTCGCAGAACCTCACCATAAAAAACAAGATGAAAAATAATGATAAATTATAAATCTCAATTAAATTTATGAATCCGGACAGATTTCTAATGTGAACAATTTCAATCAATAAGAAGATAGCAAAATACTACCTCCAATCCTTTTACAAACCAGGTTTTATACTTAGGACTGGAGCTAATATGTTTTTTGAGAAGCTCAATAACATGTACTGTTCGAAGATTCCGCGTAAATGGGAGTAATGTGCTGCATCGAGTTTACACAAAGCAAAACGAAAAGGCACCAGAAGCTCAGAACAGAAAGTTGCCTAAAGATAGATGATAATACGAGAGGGGCACATGAAGGAAGATCTATGGCTTCGTGTGGGGGGAAGAAGGCATTGTCTGAACAAAGCAGAAAGAAGAAAGCTAGCCAATCAGAACAAAGAAGCAAAATCACAGTCACAGACACACAGATAGAGAGAGAGAGAGAGAGAGAGTCAACGAGGGAAAGGTTGACCAGGCATCTTGTGGGTGAGCTACCTGCCTCTCGAACACACGCTCTCTACAGCGTTGAATTCTTTAATGTCCTCATGCCTCTTTGATGCTCTTCTTCTCTCTTCACCCATGCGCATCCACTTGATATATAAAGTACAGCAGACCAAACCCACAAAAATAAGCCTAAAAACAATTACTCTCCATCTTTTCTTTTTCCCTCAAAACAATTCCAAACACTGAAGAAGAGGCAGTTCTCAAATAGATAATTGGTACAGAGATATGGGTCGTATTCCATGCTGCGAGAAGGACAACGTTAAAAGAGGACAGTGGACACCTGAGGAAGACAACAAGCTCTCTTCCTACATTGCTCAACATGGTACTAGGAATTGGCGCCTTATTCCTAAAAATGCTGGTTTGTTGTCTTGTCTTGTCTCTGGCTTCATGTCCTGTTCTTATTAATGTGGACGATAAAGCTTACTTGAATTTGATTTTGGTTGAGATGAAGGCCTCCAGAGGTGTGGAAAGAGCTGCAGGCTCAGGTGGACTAACTACCTCCGTCCTGATCTCAAGCATGGTCAGTTTTCAGACTCAGAAGAGCAAACCATTGTGAAGCTCCACTCTGTTTTTGGTAACCGGTAAATCACCTCTGCTTTTGGCCTCTCACAATTTTTTAACATAAACAATTTGTTTGACATGGCTTTCAGCTCACTACAAGTGATTTTTCAAACCCGAAAAATCAATTTAAGCCTAAAATGATATTTAACATGATTAGGAATAAATGTCTTTCTGCTTAAAAATCACTTTAAAATCATGATAACTTTTCTAAATTTTGTTTTTTTCTCTCCATATTTGGATCTTCTAAAATTGACTTTTTAATGTATCATCATCCCAATAAATTTTATCAAACGTTTTTTTTTCAACAATTTCTAGGAATTATTAATTATCCTAAGGATTTTATCCCTCATATGTCATCTGCCTTGTCTCATCCCTGTTATCTGGAGAATTGATGACATTACCATGAACTTAGGCACTTGATTCCAATTGACACCTATCGACTATGTATGACAGCTCATAAAGTGAACTTGCACAAGACAACAAGAGATTGACAAAAAAGGCCACCTCTCTTGTGTTTTATTTCACTTCATGATCAGTCATTCTACCTCGGCGAGTTAATTCTCATTCTCCCCTGTACAAAAGGCGGCAACAGAACATAAGACATTTATTTCAACATAACTAAGGTGTTTGGATGGAATCAAAACCATGATTTTAAAAGTATTTTTACGGTGTATGAAATAAATATATAGAAGAGTTTGCCTCATTTTACGAACTTTTGGGTGCTTCCAAACACCCCTTAAATCTAGCAGAATGACCATACTGAAACCTCCATTATTATACTAGAGATTAGAAGAATGTTTATACCTAGTATCTTTTAACCCATAGACTCTGGAAGCTCAAGGGGGGCATGTTTAATTTCTTAAACACTAGAACGAATACATACTAAGTGGCCCAAGAAAAAGAATGGGTAGATATATCAAATACTAACACAATGGCTTAATATATTTTCAGATGGTCACTAATAGCAGCCCAGCTCCCAGGCCGCACTGACAATGACGTCAAAAACCACTGGAACACCAAGCTGAGGAAGAAACTTTCAGGCATGGGAATCGACCCTGTCACCCACAAGCCATTCTCCCACCTGATGGCCGAAATTGCAACAACATTGGCACCCCCACAGGCAGCTCACCTAGCTGAAGCAGCTCTCGGCTGCTTCAAAGACGAGGTGCTTCATCTTCTTACTAAGAAGAAGATTAACTTCCAGGCTCAAAACCCCACTGAACAAATGGGGAATAACATTAACATTACCTCTTTCATGAACTATAAACCTGATGAGAAGCAAGACACTTCTGAGAAGATTAAGTTTGGGTTATCCAAGGTTATGCAAGAATCTGAAATGATAACCCCAAATAAACCGTGGGACTGCACTGCAACTACAACAGCCAGTTTTGAGGGGACTTGCAGTGTCTTTCCTACAGTGACTGGGTTTCAATTTAGTCCTGTGTCGTTTGCCAACGATGGGGATGGATCACCATGGAGCCAAAGTGTGTGTACCGGAAGTACATGCACAGCCATGGATCAACAAGGCCAGTTACATGAAAAACTTCAAGAAGAAAATGAAGATGATTCCAATACTGCAAAAGAAATTAGAAGTGCATCCGATTTATTCAACGCCCAGTGTGTTTTGTGGGATTTACCATCAGAAGATCTGATTAATCCCATGGTATAAGAAAGATCACAGAACAGAGAAGGGAAAGAATTCCGACATCAGAAATAAAGAATAAGCTGCCTATGAAGATGATCAATGATACAAATGTAGATAATGGCTATTTTTACAAACTATGAATACACAAAAAAAATAAAAATGGAAAACATATCACGCATACTATATTTTCAGTACTCTTTTAACCACTTCTTGCTAATATTGGATTAAGCGAAATACGATGACGATGAGGATGTATCTGCCAGAATCTGCCAGTATAGTCAAGAATAAAATAAATAAATAAGAATCTTTGAAAATAAACAGCAAGTAATAATTAAATATGAGGAATCACAGGAAGAAATATAATTGGCTCTTTAAAAAGCTACCTCAAGTTGCTCTTCAGTAAATGATTCTTTCTGAACATTCCAAGTATCTGCATGAGTCCGCCTGAACTCCGCAACTGCTTTCGTTACCGCAGATTTCACAGGAGATGGCTCCCCACTAAAGCGAGCCAGCAGTGTAACATGCTCAGGCAACCAGCTGAAATGAATTATTTGATGAAGTGAGATAACAGCTAAACAAGAAAGGGAGTGGGAGAGAGAAAATGATGGGTGAATACATTAAAAAAAATAAATTAAAATGATATTAGGATATTATTTCTTTCAACAGGACAAACCTGGGCATATCATAAGGGGCTGATAAAACAGAAGCTGCCAATGCTAGCACAGCACCATGAACTGATGCTACTGATGAACCAGAGCTTGCATTTCTGCAGCAAAAAATTTGCAAGATATTTAATACATATGATAAGAAATAGAACTAAATAAATGACCAATCAAGACAAGGTCATAAGAACTACTCAATCAGTTGATATATGTTGCTTGAGGCATCTAAAGGACAGAAACACCGCAGATGCCATTACTTTCACAAAAAGTTTAAAAAGTGAACTCCACAGAGTCTCCATGCAGAGGAAGTCAAACAGTGTATTTTCCTTGTTAATTTTTGCCGAAGACCCACAGCTAGGATTACAGATAATTTCAAAAGACCATGCACAACAGATAACATGTAGAATTCAAAGACAAGAAGCCAGCACTGATTTTTCAAAGGCTGACGATTCTTAAACATCACAACACCGCATCCCAGAACAAAGGGAGAAAAGGGCAACCTCATCCTTCTTCTCTTCTGTAAAACATTTGCCTGAACATAAGCTCTATCACGGAAATCTTTAGCTAGATCTTCATCTCCTCCCTTCAATAAGCCTGCTAAAACTGCTGCTGCATGCTCTCTTACCTAGACACAGAAATCAAGTTTTTCAAAATAAGGTATAAATAATTCCACTCTTTAAGACGTAATAGAGACAGAAAAGCAGCAAGCAAGGTACACAACACAAGTCCAGATATGGTGTTCATTGCTTGTATGTAATATTATATTCTGTAACCACGAGGAACCACACACGTACTGGTAGTAACGTACAAAATAGTTATAACTAATCTCAAACATAAGTCACAGAAGCAGATTAGGAGGATGATATTGATCTTTTTCCACAACCTGGTTCTCCCAGAAAGAAGGGGCAAACTAACTAAACAAGGGATAACAATGACTACTCTACATTGCAATTCATATAGGTTTAGTGCTAAGTTCTTGCCTCAACTTGGTTGTCTACAAGCAACTTCTCAACAGTTCTCCAAATTTCTTGTTTCATTGAACTTGGGAGAATGAAAGTGTGCCTGTTATATGAGTAAAAGTAATTATCAGTCAATAAATCTAACTATGAAGTACAAGTTGCTAATATTACAAAGCATGGAAGCAAGTGACATCACTTGTTAAGAATTTAACACCTGATCTGCTCTGACAAAGCAAAATCAAAAAGTTATCGTACCTATACATGAAAGTGCGAAGATATGTCAATGTAGCAGATCTAGTTCTCCAATTGGAATCATTTGCAGCAGATAAAATCACCGAGACAACCTTCTGGAGGTGAGGTTCCCGGAAAATACTCCATTTAAGTAATTCAAATACTCCCTTGGCTAATGTTGACAAATCTTTATTTGATGTTTCCTTCAAAAGCACATAAAATTACCCATGAATGAAAAAAAGCAATACCCTCTCCATGTAGATCATGATGGAATCTAATACTTCAGGAATATAAATAACATTCACAGTGAAA